AATGAGGAAACCAGAGAACAAGTTCCAGAAGCTCTTGCAGAAAGACGAAAGGCTTGCAGCAATTTGATGGCCAGGAGTTGTGCAATCACCATCATCCCTTAAATTGAGTAGGTAAAACACATGAATATGGTGTAATTCTTAAATCTATGCTTCTTAGTTTAATTTCTGTTGAATTTATATCTGCCTGATTATTTGTCATGCTGGAAACATGCATGTTTAACACATAAGGATTCAACTATCTTCTCTTACTTGGCCAACATATATAGTTGAGCTATCATCAATCTTGATTTCCAATGTTTCGTTGCTGAGTTGGATACTAAGTCTGCTTAATCAATCACAATGGTTTTTACAAGCTTCTCTGTGATTTATTTATCATGGTCCAAGGTGAGAGTCTTTCAACATCACAACAATTTGTACTTGAGAAATTGATTGCTCATGCCTCTCCTCAGCACACATGAACCTCAACAAGCAGTTCAGGTACCTCAAATATCCTGGTAGAAAGCACAACGTGTACCCTTGAAAATTTCAAAGCTATTCTGTCAAGTTCTTCTCTGCCTCAAAATAACTGTGTTCATTTGCTGCGCGAAGCCACACTGCTACAAGCTATGATATGTACAATAGAGAATGATATTTCAATTGTATGTAAAGATAGTTATTCTCTCATTTCATATACAATAGGGAATAGTATCATGTTACTACTTCCGTTCCTGCAATTCTCCAATTAAAATATTCCGTTCCTGCAATTATCGCACCCTACGTTGTTCGTCAGCTCACCAATCCTTAGTAAATTAATTAATTAATTCAATTGCTAAAAGGAAAAAGAAAAGACTCTGCAAAATAAATATAAAAAAATACTGTATTTACGGGGGTTGCATTTAAAACGACAGCTTGCACTTATGTGATGACAGTACTTGACGCGTAACAGCTACTTTCCTTGTAATACCCATTATACCCTCATTCCTAGGTTCTCTATAAATACCGCCTACCCACCCCGTCTTAGCTAGCTCTGTTCATCTCATCACCATCGCTAGATTCGTTACTTTTTCTAGTGTCATTTTATTTCGTTGTTTTTATGAGTCTTTATCAATTAATTTCTGCTTGAAATTGATTCATTAATGGCTCCTCCTAAATCAAACCCTAAGATTTCAGTGTCCACGAAAACGAAGAGGGTCTCTAATGCTGTGAAGCCTCATAAAATTGCCATGGCCAAGAGAGGCTCTACTCGGAACGAGAAGGCGAGCGAGCTCTCGAAACTTTGTGATATCGCCGTTTACATGACCGCTGTTGGGGCTGACGGCAAGATTGACTCGTGGCCGGAAAATCAACAAGATTTGAAATCAGTTGCGCTCAAGTACAAGAATCTGAGGAGGGGTTTGATAGGTCAAGTCGAAAAGGGTTCGTTCTCAGCGGAAATTGTTGAGGATCGAGAAATTGGGGATTTGGGTTTTCAAGATAACTGCTTGGGGTCCAAGTTAGAAGCTTTGAACGAGAGGATTGGAAATGTGATGAGGAAGATGATGAAGATGAGGGATGATGGTAACTCCACTTTCATGGAACTGTACAAGAATATCACGGAGAGTAGTGTGGAACCGGATGCAGCATATCAACAACAACAAAAATCATATCTTAATTTGAATCTTGATCCTGTTGATCTCATCATACCCAAAGCCAAACCTAATTTCATTGGTCAATTTCAGCAAGAAAAAGATTATCTTTCATCAATTCATGATCTCCGAGTACCGTATAATGGTTTGGAATTCGATCATTATTCTGTGGATACTAATGATTATCTCAGTTTGGTGTTGGGTGATGATCATAATGATCTGCAACCTCAAAGCAGTAATTATATGGAGGGTTTGAAAATTGATGGGCATGATGTTGTTGCTGCTATGCCAAGTATGGATGCTACAGATGATGATATCAAGTTGCTGTTGAGTGATTGTGATATTGATATGATGCAAGATGATGTGCAATTTTGTGTCAATGACTTGATCGACATGTTGCTACAAGACCCACAACAGCAGACTCATTCCGAGTTTAAAAGTACAATCCTAGATCTTAATTTCTAGTCGTGATCTGTAAATTTGTTGTTTCCCTGTACCTAAATCCAAAATCTGATGTATATTCTGGAATATTTTTGGGATTTAATAGAATGCGACTACTGTTTGTTTATCTCTATTATGTGTTTTTATTTGTACAGCTCAAGTGAAGAGCTTCTGGTGTAGGTCCTTTTATTCAATCAACTTTCTCACCTTAAATGACAATGAAGAGCATAACCATTATTTTCATATTAAGACATCTTTTCTCAGTTTTGGCTAAAAAGAGCAAATGACAAGGCTTTTTATTGGATATCCAAGAATGAAATTGATTATACAAAGTAACAGGGAAAAGTTGTCCAAACCAATATGAGCAAAGAACACAGGGATTACAAAGTCATGTTCATAACCTAAATTATCCTTTAGGAGTATCAATTACAGTCTTAAGGTCTCCAAATGGAGATGCAAAGATGCCATAGATTGTCCAAGCAATTGGAGACCCCCAGTAGTACCACCTCCACCACACTGGGATTAGCTGCAAATTTCAGCATGAATTTTTATTATTATGGTTGCAATGATAAATTAAGACGACGATTATCAGACTTGAAAATATGAAGAATGACCGAGTTTCAAATGACATAATGGCCTGGGCAATGAGGAAACCAGAGAACAAGTTCCAGAAGCTCTTGCAGAAAGACGAAAGGCTTGCAGCAATTTGATGGCCAGGAGTTGTGCAATCACCATCATCCCTTAAATTGAGTAGGTAAAACACATGAATATGGTGTAATTCTTAAATCTATGCTTCTTAGTTTAATTTCTGTTGAATTTATATCTGCCTGATTATTTGTCGTGCTGGAAACATGCATGTTTAACACATAAGGATTCAACTATCTTCTCTTACTTGGCCAACATATATAGTTGAGCTATCATCAATCTTGATTTCCAATGTTTCGTTGCTGAGTTGGATACTAAGTCTGCTTAATCAATCACAATGGTTTTTACAAGCTTCTCTGTGATTTATTTATCATGGTCCAAGGTGAGAGTCTTTCAACATCACAACAATTTGTACTTGAGAAATTGATTGCTCATGCCTCTCCTCAGCACACATGAACCTCAACAAGCAGTTCAGGTACCTCAAATATCCTGGTAGAAAGCACAACGTGTACCCTTGAAAATTTCAAAGCTATTCTGTCAAGTTCTTCTCTGCCTCAAAATAACTGTGTTCATTTGCTGCGCGAAGCCACACTGCTACAAGCTATGATATGTACAATAGAGAATGATATTTCAATTGTATGTAAAGATAGTTATTCTCTCATTTCATATACAATAGGGAATAGTATCATGTTACTACTTCCGTTCCTGCAATTCTCCAATTAAAATATTCCGTTCCTGCAATTATCGCACCCTACGTTGTTCGTCAGCTCACCAATCCTTAGTAGATGTAATTCTTAAGCTCGTTTTTCTGTCTTCTTTATTCCTCTTTTAATTGCTTAAATGTTCTGGAAAACAGAAGAGTCGCGAATTCATTGTTCTCATTTACCCAATTCTCCCCTTACAAACCACATGTACATTACAACCCTTGAGCATTTCTTTAAACTTAAAGTTATTCTGGCTCGAAAAAAAAAATAACTGACTTCAATGTTCCAGGAAGCCAACCTGCTAGAATGTTAAATTATTGATTAATGCCCTTGTTGTGCTCTCGGATAAAATCAGCTCTGGTTTCTGTCAGTGAAAATGTGCTCGAGCGTGTTTTGTTAGAAACTTTTTTTTTTAATGTGTTCAGTTTTTAAGGCCTTTAAGAAGCCAAGTTGCTTCTTATCTGGTTTAGCTACTTAGAAGTAATTGCTTATAGATATAATCTGCTTTTACTTTAGTTCGTGAGAATTGGAGTGTGTGCCAATTGTGAACGTATCTCCTATATATGTATCTAAGAGAGGAAAACCTCTTAACAAGTTTTATCAATCAGAAATATCTGTGAGAACCAAGTCTGGAGTTTTCAGACCTCTGAGTTCAACTTATTCTTTGTATTTTCTCTTCACTTATATTTTACATAAATTTCAACATAGAAGCCATGATTCGTACAATAAAGCCTTTAAATTCCTGGTAGTGAAAGTTATGGATTGAATGTTGTTCTCTGGTATAGAGAGACAACGATCATCAACCTATAAAAGCATGCTGTGTGGTTGCATTTTTATGAGGGATTGAGAAAAGCTCTTGCCTTTTTGTTTCATTAAATATATGTTGCTTTTGCGCTTAATCACAAAATATGCGATTTTACGGAAGTAGAACAGTTTGATAATGGTATATAGCATCTACTAGCTCATTATGTTTAAAAGCCAATTATTTTGTTCTTGTTTCAATGTTTGTTTACTGTCTGTTTTCTTACAGTTAGTTAGATCTTATATGACAGGTTATGCATTAGTGTCCTATGGACTATGTTTTGAGTTTCATTATTAAGGTTGTCTTGGGTGAAAAAGATACTTGAAAAAAAAGAAGTCAAACTCTGCTGACGAGGACAGACAATTTTGAAGGGTGCCAAGGCAGTCACCAGGGTAACACAATTTTTCCTATCATGAAGTACCTTGTAGAGTGACGATCTTTCGAGTTTCGGTTAAGTTTGGAAGTTCTAGAATGAGGTCACATTACAGAGATTTAAAGTCAACTTTGTGAGCTCTAGTTTTAGAATTGTAGTGTTGTAAGACTAGATAAGTGCTTCATAACGTTATGTACTTCTGGTCTCTGTTTTCATGCATTAAGTGCTTCGATCTAGTTTGCCTGTTCGAGAAAGAGGTCACCACTGTACAGAGATTAAAAGTCAACTTTGTAGAAGTTGCTGAGTTTTCTTTCCGGAAATTGTTTTTGTCTTCAGAAGTAACATTTTGGTTCTTTGTGGAACGTGACTTGAAAGAAAGAACTGTCATAAAGTTTCAGAGAAGTCTCTTTGTTGCCCAATGTTGCAGCCTATAAAGAAAGAACTGTCTTGTATTCAAAGTTTCAAATGACAAAGCTAATGTACATGCTTGTAATTGTATGAAAGAATCAATCATCTACAATCAACAATTGAAGAATATTTGACGCACTTATGAAACAATTTTGGCTATAGTAGGTTTGTAATGAAGATGCTCTTCTCCAAGCAAGAGTGCCCTTAGAATGGCCTCACACAAACCAGCATAATGCACAATCAAATGCCCACCGTCAGGAACTTCATGATACTGAATCCACGGTAGCTTACATGAAATATATCTTTGAAGTTGAAATGGCACAACCTTATCTTCATAACCTTGCCAAATATGAACAGAGCTCTGGTTTTGGGGGAATGGATTGCTGAGATCCATGGGGTCGAAATCCCAACGGCTGAAAGCCAATTTGAAGTCATGATGCAGAGTATCAAAAACCCCTTTTTGTCGTAACTTTTCCTTTAGGTGCAAACATAAACATTGTTAAATCATGCGACAGAAGTTAATATATGAAAATGTTATTTATAGAAAGCAGCTTCTTACTACCATACAGCATTGAGTGAAATTTCCCACTTGGTGTCTCAGTTTCTATTACAGTATCAACCACCATACCATGAACAGATTTGGAGACAGAAGATATGGTTACCTGAGAAAGCATTGGGAAGCCTGGAATTGTTTTGAGGACTTCTATGTCTCTGCTGTTGAAGAATACCGGATTTCTTTCCAGGACAGAAGTTGAAGGGAGCCATTTCTGAGTCACCCACCACCGCAGTAGTCCAGGGGCAAATTCTGCAAAGAAGAGTCCCCATTTGATAAGTTTTCTCCTGTAATCATCCTTTATCAGATGGTCAGGAAGAGAAGGCCACCTATAATTGACAACTGGAACTACCAAAGCCACACCTGCTAGCCTACACAAACAAATTTGATATAAAAAGTTCGAAAACTCTTCGTTTTGAATCAAGTAGAAAGTTATGAACCTTGAATCTATAAGTGAGTGTTTTACCTGTGTGGTATATGTTTGATGCAACTCCAGGTGGGATATGATCCCATTGACACTCCAATCACATAAAATTTCAATCCTAACTCTAACTGATCAGCCAGTTCTTCGATGTCAAGGGCTTCACTCTTGACCGAACGCTTTGGATTTGGATCACTTTCTCCATATCCAGCACGATCATATAGCAGAAAATATATCCCCAATTCATCTATTAATTCCTGGAAACTGAAGCACTGTGAGTTCACCTTATTTTGACATTTTTCTCTGAACTGATGCTTTAGTACTGCTTCCTTAGCCATATTATATAATTTGAATTAGGATTTTTCTTGTAAACCAAGTGCAAATTTGAATTGATAGAGCTCCTAAACAAACAAAAGAAAACCACTTTACAAGCATAATTTTCTGAGTGTATGATAAAAGTTGCTTTTGCAGGTCTTTCAGCAGTTTCTTTCAGATTTATAAATGTTTCAATTCAGAAAGCTGTTTCACAACAGATTTTCAAATTTCAGATATTCCCTTTCCAAGGTTCTCATATGACTCCAGATTCCTAGTTTACATCATTTCTCAAAAAACATCCCTCATTTCCTCAAAATTATTATCTATGTTGAACTTGGATTTGAATACAACTTAATTTGATAAAGCTTCAGAGCAAAATAAGAAGATGGTTGGGAAAAGAGAGATACTTGGGGTGCCAGGAAACTCATTTCCTTGGAGCTTCCAAAGCCATGAACAATGATGATCTTGTAGTTTGCTTTGTTCTTGGGGACCCCACTTTCTCTATAAGCCAGATACCTTCCATCAGCAAGCCTGATTCTTGGTGAAGCTGGAGGAAGATCTTCAGAAACAGCAGCAGTCTGTGCAGTGTTTGAAACCATCCCTGAGAAAACAAAACAACAAAAGAAAAGGGTAGATCTAATTCATTCATTTCAACTTTCATGGACCCAAAAATTGAATGGGAAAGAGAAATGGAAGGAAAAAAATATTTGAAAACTCACCTGGCATGATGTTATTTGGGATTCTCTCTTGGCCTGATGGGATTTCAAATGTATAAGTTTTTCTTTTTCTTTGTGTTTGACTTGTAGATGCTTGTTGGGTTTTCACTTTCTATCAGCACAGTGGCAGCAGAGAAGGTTTTTTGACAGTTTGATGCTGAGGCATGTACCATTTGTTACGTGAATAAATTTTGACACACCTGGATATACTTTTGAATGTTCCGCTGATGGGGGTATCTTGCTACAATTGACCTTCTCCTGGTTATAAGACTTGAGAGGCGTCACGAAAGCAGGCCCATAAATAATGCCATCTGTAGTACACCCTAACAACTGCTATCTACACCCCTTGCTTCTAAATTTCTCCTATTTTACGCCTCCCTCGTCCCCTCTTAGGTTCATGTTCATCCTATATTTTTCTTTCTTTTTCCCTCTCTCCCACATCACACCCTTTTACCCTAGCCATCACCAACAATGACCACCCTAAATCCGGCGACTAACAGTCGTGAGTTTGGTGACCCACAACTTCAACTCTAATGACCCCAGCATAAACATTGTAGAGGTCAAAAGATGAGTCATTTTAAATTTTAGCTCTATTCTAGAAGAAGGTTTTGAGTGTTGCGGTCAGATTGTCATGTAGTATTACTAATCTACGAATATGGGTGGACGACAATGTTCAATGTAATCGACCTAGAGTATAGTATTAATAAATAAATATACGTATTATAATATGAGTGGATTGGTATTACCACGTGGTAGTGTGACAGTCACACTTAATCCTACTCTAATATTAATGAGTATTATAGATTCAACCAAAATTTGTTCTTTAATAGATGATCGAAATCAACTCTTGAAGTCATTTAAGAAAAAGGAGTCGCTATAGTTGAGAAGATTTAGATCGTTGATTGAAAGAAAAAAGACTTTAACAAATGTAATAACCTCAGAGCGAGCGTTTGACACTACCTTATTGTCGTCGTGCATGTTAAATGTTAAAACTACAAAACGTTGCTACGTTTGTGGTGATATGCGGCCACCTCATGTCGACACACACTCGGAGTTGCTCCAAAACAACACCATTTACATTATTTGTATCTATAGATTTTCCCTTGGTTAGAATCTTAATAAGGTTATTCTTGCATCTTGAAGTCTCACTTAGAGCAAACAAAATCAATCATTTGTACTCTTTAAAAGTGATGAGTAAATTTCTTGGCATAGCTGGTTGATTGTGAGATTGAAGCAGATTGCCTGCTACAATTTGGTGCTCATGTCGTGTCCATGTGCCAGCGCACTTCCTCTGTTAGTCAATGAGGCAATCGAACCGACTGATGTAATAATAGCCCCTGCCTAACAACACACGTTAGCTGGTTAAAGCTTGCAGGAAAAAAAGAAGCTTTACAAAACAAAAAAAGAACAAAAAAATAATAATAATAATAACAAAAGAAAAGAAAATATTGAAAATAATGGAAATTTGTTTTTTAAACAAATGATTAAAAATTGTTTATTCGTCCAAGATGCGTTAACAAATGATTGATACAAATGAGAGCATTCATGATTCTAGGTTTATACCCCGTCGTCAGAATATTCTTGCATTTGTAGTTTCTTGCGGGAGTCTCACTTAGAGCAAACAAAATCAATCATTTGTACTCTTTAAAAGTGATGAGTAAATTTCTTGGCATAGCTGGTTGATTGCGAGATTGAAGCAGATTGCCTGCTACAATTTGGTGCTCATGTCATGTATGTCCATGTGCCAGCGCACTTCCTCTGTTAGTCAATGAGGCAATCGAACCGACTGATGTAATAATAGCCCCTGCCTAACAGCACACGTTAGCTGGTTAAAGCTTGCAGGAAAAAACAGAAGCTTTACAAAACAAAAAAAGAACAAAATAATAATAATAATAATAACAAAAGAAAAGAAAATATTGAAAATAATGAAAATTTATTTTTTGAACAAATGATTAAAAATTGTTTATTCGTCCAAGATGCGTTAACAAATGATTGATACAAATGAGGGCATTCATGATTCTAGGTTTATACCCCGTCATCAGAATATTCTTGCATTTGTAGTTTCTTGCGGGACTCTGGTGGGGGTGGCCTCGCTTTGAGCGGGACCCTATAGTATTTACAACACTGTCACACTCAATAAAATATTTTGGTTTATAAAATTTATTTCTTAAATTTAAAAATGTATTTGCTCACCAGCTTAATCATGAGTGTAGCATCACCATTCCAATATTAAGTTGTCACTTGTCCTTCTAAAAGTTAGCCATAGTTATAAAAAATTTAAAATAATTTATACATGCAAACGTGAGTTAGGCTAGTTGATCAGGGCAGTGAGTTCACCCCATTGCATCCAAATTCAAATCTCTCACCCCATAAATTAGATTAATTTAGAGTAGTTAAATTTGTACTTATATTTAAAAAAAACCTTAATGAAGAATAGCAAGCAAATATTAAAAAACAAAAATTATAATTTCTACCATTATCCTCTTCTTCCCCTAAAGTTGGAATCCATGGCAGCTCTATAGAATATATCCTGTAAGAAAAAGGAAAGAAATTGAGATATTTATTCAAAAATTCATTTTAGCACGATATATTATACAAAAACTCATATAGAGAATATTTGGAGGAAAAAAAAAATCAAAACTAGCCACTTGTTATTTTTTAATTGGTTCTTAGTGTGTTAAAATTTATAAGAACCAATTAAAAAATAACAAGTGGCTAGTTTTGAGTTTTTCACTCTAAATAGGTTATTTTGTATATTATATCATACTATAATAGATTTATTAGTGGGATTCTCGAAATTCAGATATTTGCCGTTACTCATCATTCATTGTTGAAAGATTTATTTTGTTCATATGGGGGGTTGCAGGCCCGCTGGCACGAAGATACTTGAATCAGTAACCAAGTATACATCATACATTGGTGGCTAGCATTATTGATCCAAAAATTAATATTATATCTTGAAATTATCTTGCATTTTTAAATATTAGAAAGGAAATCTTGGGCTTGGCTTTGAAGATTAAAAATACTTTTAAGTCACACAAGAAATCAGATAAAACATAAAAAAAAATATACCCAAAAAAAGTCACATCAGAAAGTGACTCTCGGGCCAAAGAATAAAGGAAAAGGAAAGAAAAGAAAATTAAATTACTCGTGTGGGAGCTCCGTGTATTGTTTTTCTCTCTAAATAGATTATGTAAAGAGCTCTGTGTGGGATACGAAGGACTAGGGGTGGACATCGAAACCGAAAAACAAGACAACCAAATGAAACTGGGCCCAAAAATACTAAGTTGACCAAAACGTCAAACTCAATTCAAAATACCGAACCAAATCGATTTTGGCCGGTTACGATTCTACTAAGGACAAGGTAACCCTCAAAGTTATGTTGCAAAAAAAAAAAAAAAAAAAAAAAAAAAAAAAAACCTTCGATTACAGTAAAGGCAAACAACTTTTGGGTGGGTTTCTTTTTTGGGGTTAGAGGGAAAATTTATTACAAGAGGGAAAATACAATGGCAATTACACAAACATAAACTAAAAACAATGAGCCCAACAAAGACACAAAGAGGCTGAAGGCTCACAACAAAGCCAATCAGAGCCTACAGCCAGGCATAAAGCCCAATCCACACTTAAAGTTTTGTCAATTATCACAGTAGTAGTAAGCTGATAAATTTTTTATTTTGCGATGTAACCATGACTTTACACAGAAGAACTTTTCTACATATATATGAAGCACATTGCAGCATTCAAGAAATAGTTGCTCCAGAAACATCAACAGTTTACTCAACAACATACCTATAGATATTAGGCCTGCTATCAACGTAGGAGCTTATTCTCCAAGCAAAAGTGCTTTTAAAACAGCTTCACATCGATGACTCTCAAATATAAGAAAATGGCCATAATCAGGAACTTCATGATAACGAATCCAGGGAAGCTTCTCTGCAATATAGCGGTTTAGTTTATAAGGAATGATCTTGTCTTCAAGGCCTTGCCAAATGTGAACTGAGCCCTCATTTTCAGGGAAAGGATTTTTCAGGTCCGATGGGTCGAATTCCCATTTTGCATAGCCAGCCAGTATGTCTCGGAACAGAGATTCATGGTCTCCTTGCTGTGTTATCTTTTCCTGAATTTATAAACATACACAAAAGACACCGATGGTTAATGTTTTCAAAATTAAGTCAAACTAGTAAATCCTGCAGTAGAATATTTTTGTTCATATTATTTGATCCACTAACAAAACAAAGTACCCAAAACAGACCATCCTCCCACAGGTAATTTAACCTCATAAGCTATGAACTCAGATCCAGAAATGCAAGTATGTGAGGTATGATGTGTTAGTATATAAAGCAAATGTTTACTCACATTCCACTTAAGTTTAAACAGTCCTAAAACAACAAAATTTGACATTAAAAGATTCCAAAACCTCCAAATGTAATTGCAAGAAGCGAAAAGAAAACGGCCGATTTGGTACTGTGGGGGAGATAATGAGAAAATTTGAGTATACCTGACCAACACTTGTTGCTTCTGAGACTTTCTGCATCATCTCTAAATCTGCACGGCTGAAAATTGAGTTATTTCCAGACAACATACTTAGTGAAGGGAAAAATTTCTGAGTCATCCACCAATGGAATAACCAAGGGGCGTAATGTGCAACTCGGAACGCCCATTGATCTGATACCGGGAGACGGCTGAGGGTCTCTCTTGATAGATTAGCAGGAACACAAGGCCACCAGTAGTGCACAAAAGGAACTACCAGGGAAGCTCCAGACAATCTGCAAATGATGTATCGATAACATAAGATGCAAGCTTTCTGAATAGAAACAATAAAGGTTCAGCAAAAACTTTATTGAAAGGAGAAAATAGGAAAAACTGGTAGGCGGGTAGTTGTCATGCCTGTGTGGTATGTATTTCAAGCAACCCCAAACAGGGTAAGCTCCCATTGAGATTCCGATTACATAAAACTTAGACCCAATCTGCAACTTGTCAGCTAGCTCTTGAATATCGAATGCTTCGCTCTTCACAGAACGCGAGGGATATGGATCACTGTCCCCATAGCCTGCTCTGTCGAAGGACAGGAAATATATGCTCAACTCCTCTACAAGTTCCTGATATCAAAGAGGGGATGAGAGAGAGAGAGAGATACACTATGTTGTGAAAATGGACAAGACTTTCACACACTCCCCTAATGATCTTGTTGTTGATGGACTTTGTGACACACACAATTATGGATGAATCACACACACACACTTGAGAAACCAACCAAGCACCAAATGACACAAGTATTTT